GAATTCATTTTTTGGCGAGCGAACGGCACGACTCGCGGTATAAAGACTGGAAGTAGATCAATAAAAAGCCGCAGAGAGTACATACAATCTAATGTGGTAAGAGGATGGAGATACAGGGAGTTGATGATACAAGCAAGACGTAATCGGAGAGGGTGCATAATTAAGCAGAAAGCAATGCTGCTGATGTGCTCTATAGATCTCTCTGCAATGATCAAAAACATTGTGGGTATATATACATCCCCAAGTATGAGCAAGAAACTGTTTTCTTTTTATTGGCATTTGAGGCTGAAAGGAAAGGTATTATGCTGTTGGGAGCAAAGATTGATAAAGCAAGTTGTGTAGCAGAGTTAAGATTGTGTTTCCTTTTCCACACACCCATAGCAGGCCTTTGCAATTGCAGAAATTAAGAAAAGGCATGTGTGGACAAAATGTATGTATCCAAAAGAATTGAATATTAAATTGATTAAAACAAAAGCACTCAATTACTGTACTCTGGCCACATCTTAAAAAATGTATTTTAATCAGATAAAAGACTTGATATTCAAAATTTTCCTCCACTATAATTGTAATAAATTTGAAAATAGTAAGGGTTATGTTATTTAATTACTATTCTGTGTATACATTGAATGGATATAAAACATGGTCATGAGTATGGTACATTTGTAGCTTGAAAATTGACATGAATTGTATGTTTGTCATAATTTATATATAAATTTGGTTAATTTATATTTTAAGAAAATAGAAAGAAAGCATGAAACATGGAAGGGCACCTGTATTCATTCTTCTACTTCTCAGTCTCTGTCTGTCTGTCTCTCTCTCTCTCTGCCCTTTTCTTACTCTTTCTCTCTCCTATTTTAATCTTTCTCTCTCCTTTTCTTATTCTTTCTCTCTCCTTTTCTTATTCTTTCTCTCTCCTTTTCTTATTCTTTCTCTCTCCTCTCTTGCCTTCTTTTCTCCTAAGAGTCTTTTCTCTCCATCTCACTCCCTCCTCTAATCTCCATCTATCCCTATCTCCGTCCACCTCTGTTTCCCAATCAAAATGGCCGCTTCCAAAGTTGTTACCTGGAGTGCACATAGTACAGCATTAATGCAATGTTTTCCCCGAGTGGCTGTGAGTTATCTGATTTAGGATGGGTTGGAGGCCAATCATGCTAAAATTGAAATTCAATTTGATGATTTAATTCATTACGCATCGCAAGGACATGTGAGGAATGGCTAGGAGTAGAACTCATGAATTCAAATGAAGAAAGAAAAGAAAAGGGGTATACATGTGTCCTTTGCTAACCTGGAGATTTTAATCCAAGCATTATTACATTTAAACCCTGGATTTACTACCATTACCCATTCAATACAACTTTTTTTTAATCACATTTAGGCCTTTGTTCAAGAATTTATATGAATTTAATAACGCCCTTTCTACTCTGAACAGATGATATCTATAACACACCAAGATGTTTGAAATATATACATGTATAATGCACTCACATGAAATTAGATGTCTGTTTGGAGCCAGAAGGGTGTTAACTCTGGAAAAGTACATAAGTTGATGCCTTTTTGGTTCCAAACATATGATATATTAAATGTTTTAGTGAATTGATCATCATTGTAAAATGTAAATAATAGATAATTTTACTTCTGTAAAGTATACCTTTCAAAGTGACAATTTGAGTGTCCACACAGTCCTATTTACACATGAATACACACACACTAGTTCATGAATCACAAACACCATGCATTCTATCAACTCTATCATCTCGAATGAGACACACTCAAATGGATATTTACAATATACTTTAATTTTACTGTGATATTCTGTAAACAGACACAAAAATAAAATACCGGTAAAATACAGTAGTCAAGCTACTCATGCATTAACTGTATAATGAAATTCATCGTGAACACAAAAAAGTTAAATAAACATGCAATATGGAACAACTTGTTCATGCGTAGGATAAATATTGACTTTGGGAGTGTGTTTTGCTTTATTTTTGTATACCGGTAGATGTATTACCGGTATAATGCTTTGTTCAATATCAGACAGCATAGCCTCTAAATGGACTAAAAAATAACAATGTAATCATATATTCATCTAATTCGATAAACGTGTATACAATGTGTTGAAACTGACAGTCAGCTGTAAATACATTTAATAGAGATTTTAATATAATATTGTTTTATTTATCTTGATTAAGTTGATAACATGTGTAAATGACAGAAGATGAATGTAGTATAAAATTTAGCTGTATTTTGCACATATTTATTTTGATTTAACTACCGGTACAATTTACATGTATGTGTATGATGTATCTATGCGTATTATACATTGAAAGTCTCATGATTATGTAGAAAGATGTGCATTATGTAGATATACAAATAGATATAACTTTAATCACTTGTTTTATATAAATAAAATTGTTAAATGTTATTTGCTGCATTCGTGCTGAATATATTTTAATGGCACTGTTGTTCATTTCTGAAACAAATGATTTTATTTACTTCTGTGTAGAAACTTACTGTTATTGATTACATGAATGAATCACAAAGTTTCCAAGAATTCTCACACGCCTTTCGATAAATTTAGAATGTATCAAAGGCAGTATTTTCACCCAATACCATTCATTTACAATGAACAAAATTGAGTGCTTCATTTTCTCTTCTGAGAAATCTGTAACAGTTTTTAATAAATGTGGCAATACTTTGAGGATGAATCCGTCATTACACACTGTAAGAGTTTAAGTTCTATCATTCAGGCATTGATTTCTGAGGTGTTCCGTTTTAGAATCCCAGCTGTTCTTGCTTAAACAGTAGCTAAATATGAAGTCTGGTTTCCAGCTGTCGCATGGTTTAGCATGAGCCTCTTGTTATAATATATCTAGCCAAAAAGTTTTTAAAAAGGAATCAAAATAAGCAAAAGGAAGAATAGAAAAGGAACAAATATATGATTATTTCCAGGGTAAAATTTAAAATTGTTAACATCAAGGGCTGTGTATTTAGACCTGTAATGCATTGCAATCTTAGGTTTTTAATCTCTGAGGAATGGGAAAGGGGGGAGGTTGGGGGGGGGGGCGCGCAAAGTGCCCTTAGTGCCCACCTGTGCTGACTATTTGAATAACTTCTGAAATTAGTACAGCAGCACCCAAAGATGTTTTACTTTTTTTTATAGATTGACATCCCAAACAATGGTTGAGTGTGTAATGGGCGAATTTAAATTCATATTGTCTGTTGATAAGCTTGTTGTTGTTTTGGGTGTTAAGGCTGACCAATCTAAACAGATTATTTCTGCCCAAAGGACATTAATTTATAAAGGATTTGAATGGATTCCCTTGCGGCCCTCAGCAGGAAGATTCATCTGTCTGGTAGAGGGCGATAACTCTGTTTAACAAAAATAGGATTTATCGCCCTTCTGGCTCCAAACAAAGGGACTATCCTATTGAAACGTGTGTTAATTCTATAACACACGTTTCAATGGGATAGTCAAGTTAGACTTATGAGTTATTACGGTTTCTAGGAACGGGCCCCTGGTTTCTCAGAATGCGGACAAAATTAATCTGGCTCTGATTATAAAACAGACGATAGGATTTATCGCCCCTCTGGCTCTGAATAGATGACCCTTTCTGCTGAGATCCACAAGGGCATTCATTCGCATCTTTTTAATAATTAATGTCCTTCTGGTTTTCCAAAATGCAGACAAGATAAATCTGGCTCGGATTATAAAACAGACAATTTTAATACCTTCTGTGTCTTCTGGAAACTAGACTTCTCCAACCAGGGAGATGAGAGTATCTCCCTGCTCCAACCTAGCACTGCAGTGCACTGCTGAAATACCGTTCCATACGCAAATTGTCCAATGCAATGCACTTTCATTGCATGCTTTAGCACAGTGTGTTAACTAACGTTACTGAAGATGAATTGAATTGTACTTGTAGAAGCTACAAATGTATGAGATAAACAGGTTTTAAGTTCACTGTGCAATTTAACCCACATGTGTATCCAAAGATTTCATTGTTTTTTTGTGTACTTCTCAATTAAGGCTTGTTCAGATATGATGCAGTAAAACGCCGCGATTTCATATTTATTTCATTTCCAACAGAAAGATAAACAAAGGTATTACATCATTTTTCTTGGTAACTATACAAATACACTTTGCACATAATCAAATTATTACAAGAAATTCTTAATTTCTGAGGAAATAAATGAATGGCAACTGCGCCACATACATGCAAATGTAAAGCGTAAATTACACTTTAAATCATCATGAAATAAAACATGGTTAGTCACGTCATGTCTGAACAAGCCTTTAGACTGCATTGTAGGGGAATCACCCCAAAAGTTATAATTTTTTTTTTGTGAACACAATATTATTTTGCAAAAATATTCAAAAGGTATTTTGTGTTTACACCATATGTAATGAAGGAGTGTAAAGAAATTATGATGTAAATAAAAGATTGCAATAGAATCGTAAAGAATATTATGATAGTTTCATGCTGCAAAGGTTTTTGGTTTTATAGCAGTACTGTAAATGTATCTTTAGAATATGAGCTATATCGCAATACAGTGTTCATGTAATTGTCATCTACATGTACATGTACATGTACATGTTCATATGTTCATTATTACAGTACATGTATGTATTAATTACCTGTGTATTGTTCATTAGTTTACATACTGATTTGATATGCAGAAATACATTGTATTTTGTCCTTTGGGTGTAAACAATTGAAAAATCTTACTAGAGCTGTCCTCAATTTGCATATATATATATATGATTCTTCTTATTACAGCTTGTATATCCTTGTGTGCTTTTTATTAGTGTATTAAGACTTTAGCCCATTTGAATTTGAGTTGACGGATCTAATAATATTTTTTACGAGTAAATGTAGTGCATGTTTATTCAATCATCATATACCGTATTTACACATTTATATTTACATCAATTATGATTTCAATGTTGCTAAACCTGATTTATTTTCTATCCCCTTCTTCCCCCTTAATTACGTCAGCTGGTCGTTCATTTTTCCCTTAGTATGGGTTCCCTTATCTGCTATATACTTGACACCACCAAGTAAGTACCAAGACAGTTGCTTTCACACCATTGCATTATTTTCACCCTCGCCTACATGTACATTGTACATGTTTTGTAGCTAGAAAACGTGAGCCACGGCTTTCATGTGCATTGGTTTGCACTCCTTGGCTTGTTCACACTTACACAAACAGTCCTGTTCACATTGGTCATCATTTTTTTAGGAACTAGATTTCGTGCATGCTATTTTCTTGAAGTTCTAGGTTTTTTTCGTGAAAGGGGTGAGAAGCCGGGAACTTCGGATGTTCAGATGTATGCAACAACAAATTGTTGAAAAACCTTTGATTAGAACTGCACTAAGGTCACAATTGATGAAGTGTGAACGGTTCTAATGTAGAATGTGAATAGCTCTGTTTATTTATAGAGTGTGAACAGTGATGATGCAAGGCAAACCAATGATACATGTGAGCTTGATAATGTTGCTTGCAAGGACTGCATTTGCATGCTTAGTCTGCTTCAAGACTTTGAGTTCATATTTTTTATGAAACCCATTTTAAATGATTAAAAAAAAACATTTTGAATGGGTTAAACATAGAAAAATGTTATTTTACTTTAGCAGCATTGCATTGGCGAAAAAAAACCCAAACAAACACTAACTATGTGTCCTCTGCCAAGATCCAGAAGGGCACTAACTGAAATATTATTTTACGAAGTTAACGCCCTTCTAGCCCTCAGCAGACGATATATAAATATCAAGCAGCCTTGAAGCAGGCTAGTACGAACCTACAAAAGTATCGACAAGCATGCTTTATGTACGAGGATGAATTTGACATTGTCTTGCTACATTTATGCATAGATTAGATAGCTGGAAGCACTTTAAAATGCATGATGCTTTGCGTTGTTCAACTAGAATGTATAATTTTTTACATTTCTGCTTGAGCTCTAGCTCTGCCAACACCAAGCTTCAGTATATTTTCACCACAAATATTTACATTGTATACGTAATGCACAGGCTCGTATTCAGGAGGTCACCTTCATAACCATTATTATCTTCATTTTCAGAGGGTTTAATTTAACTTTTTTTAATTTTTTATCTCGGTGTATACTCTGAGGACTTCAGATAATTGTTTCACTTCATTTACATGTATTTACTGCATTTATTACTCTGGGGAATGTATGAATATCATTATGGTGTTTATATTCTTGATGGTTTATTAACAAATGTTCAATTCTTTTCAATGTTCATGTTTATATTTTCCTCTCTGTTTTGAGGTTTTACTTCTTTTTAAGGAAGTTAACATTTGAGTTTCATCCGTACGTTATATTGATTAGAGGTATTCGGGTTCATGGTTTTGTTTTCATTAACTTAACAGTTACGTATTTGGGTACTTCATGACTGTACTTCAATGTTTGTTTACATATATTTCTGCTCGCATAATAACGGAGTCTTACCAGTACAATTACAGTTTGTTCATTGGTTGAATTTAGAAAAATGTTCAGAGTTTATCACTTTTCTAGCGACAATCTTGAGAAAAGATTGATTTTCTATGAATGTTATCATCTATGTGTAGATCTAACTTCGTTGAAAACACAATTGTAGAGATGATCTCTTTGTTTTTCTCTCAATGGTTTTTTTTTTAATGTTAAATGAACATTACGAACTGTCCTCATTTGAAAATATGGAGTTGTATAGTATGAAAACTGTAATTTACGAGATTCATTTGAGATGACAAATTGGTTGTATTATTATTATTGTGTCAAATACGGAAATAAGTATTGTAACCTCACGCAAGTAAACATGTATTACATGAGTGTACAGTATGTGTATTTACAGTTGTATAACTTTTATCTTCACCTTCTGTATGTACAGTACATGTATTTGTAAAAGGATTAAACATTATGCAGTTGTTGAAAAGAGGGATCACGCTGTATAATGCATCACATTTTGCAATATTCATACAATGTATGTGACATGTTTATTTGAAAGTAATTTGTAACATAAAGGTAATTCATTCATGTATGTTTACATTCAGCTGTCACAGTTCACTACAGAAACTACCATTTTGGTTTCATATCATTTTGTGAACTCATAGCTACAGCTTTGTGGTTTCGAGCTCTGGCGTTTGTACATTGTACATGCACAACCTAGACATTGCAATTTTACCAACATCATGATATTACGTTGTAAATAGACAAAAAGATCATTACAGTTGGTGAGCAACCTATGATTTTTTTTATGTTAGTAAAATCATGGTGTTGGACAGTACTAAAAAAACGGGCCTAATATTATTCTCATTTTACACATCAATATGTATTCTTTTTAACTTCAATCATCATTGCAATGTCATTCATTTCCATCCTTTTTTTCCCGCTCGTTTTTTCCTTCAACTCCACCATCATCGTCATCGTCGACGTACATTATTGCAGGTGATTTTGTCATTCACTGTGAGCTTGGGCTCCTTCGTCATATACATTCTTCAGCTTGACGAGTAAGTGTCTCGCGATGTCGAGAGATTGAAGTGCCTTAACGACTTCCTTTAATACTCATCAGAGTGTTGTGCTATTCGTTTTTCTCCCTCATGATCTAATTTTAATTCATTCATTTCAACGTAGTTTCACTGCTTCATCTTTCTGTTTGTTGTGATGGATCTAGATGACATCTCTGAACTATTAACCCGTTAGCTACTGAATTATCTAATTCCCATAGGCTTAACACAGGGACCACCAGGTTCCAGTAAGCAATGGGTTAACATAAATGCCACTCGAAACTGTTTTTGAAATAGGCACTAACTAATTTTCGAGGGGTTTATTCTAAAGTATGAAACTCTTTTTTCACTATATATACTGATCAAAAACAGTATCGTTACCAAATGAGCTTTAAAATAGACTTTCATGAATCGAATATGAATAGGCACTAACTGATTTTCAAGGGTTTATTCTAAAGTATGATGCTCTTTTTTCACTACCAGTATTTATACTGATCAAAATCGTTGTTGTTTCCAAATGAGCTTCAAAATAGACTTTCTGGAATCAAATTTGATTTTAAAAAACTTCATTATTTCAGTGTTCAGATGATTAAAAGAATATTGATCAAAAGCTAAATGAAAAATGGGAAGGAACCATTTTTGATTCCTGGAAACAAAATGGCTTTTTTCACTTAGGACATAAATTGTACATTAAACCAGGGACATGATAGAGAAATTTTGGCAAACTTCTGGCACATGCATTGCTTAAAGGTTGCTTAAATAAAGAACACTCACAATCAATATGCCAATCAAACAACTTTTATTTTCTTTTACTTTCTTATATATTAGAAATTTATGCAGCCAAATGCACATTTTATTGCAAGAATAGTAAATATACATGTACAATTCATAGACATGTTTAAGATTTGAAGTTTTAAAGGATTTTAGTATTAGAGATTTTTTTTGGTGAGAACAGGAATTGTTGGGGAACAAAACTTAATTCTTTTTTCTTATTAGAGAATGTAAATACATTCAAGACAGAAAGGTGAAGCAGAAGGAACAGAAAATTCATTCCATATTCGTTCATTTCCACAGTGATGTCGCCTTCATTTGATCATTTATTTATCCAACAATTGCTGTAATGTGCTGAGAATGAATGTTTTATTATTATAGTGACAAGTCTGTAAAGGGCTGCATAATGCTTCAATATTATATGACTATTATAGGCTGAGTACCCATGGCCCTTTGCGATTATCTTTCATTTTATTACAGCCTTATAATTTTATCTTTATATGTCATCTTTATTTTAAATATAATTTCAGAAAAATGTTTTTCCACATTTACTCCCAATATATCTGTATTAACCTACCCTTCATTTTATGGAAGCTAAACCTGATTTGTTAATTTAAATAAGAATTTTAAAAATATTTTGATAGCAGCAGGTTTGATAAATAGTGAAGTTGTAATTTTGCTATAAACTGTTTAAGTCTGATATTCATATATGTCTTGAAAATTGACATTGTTTGAAAACCATGATGATATAAATATTCTATTTAGCAACAGGAAAAGTGGGGTTTTGCACTTCTATTAAACAGGACACATTTTCCTTCAATTTACTGTAATAATGTTAATTTCAAATTCTTTAAGAAAGATGTCATTTTCTGTGTGAAATAGATATGACTTTAATATTGCTTGAAAACAAGAAAATTACAAATGACAGATGCACCTCACATTGTTGGCATTATGTCAAAATTTGCTGATTTCCTGTGTCTCATTGGGTGATATACTGCATTCCCTCCGATATTGAGGGGCACATAAATGAAGATAGGTTGAATTTATGAATTCTCTATTGAAAGGAGCTACAAGAAGTAAAGTTAAAAGATAAAAAGCATTGAAGGCACACCTAACATTTTTAAGTGAAATATGACAGGGGTTATAAATCTGTTTTGAAAAATTAAGAAGCAAAACAAAAATTGTTTAGCATTTACATGCATTTGTCAAAAAAACAGAAGGCTTGCCTCCTGTTTTGATAACACACAGACCAAAATTGTAAATTATCCTTAAAAACAAAAAAGAAGCATTTTTCCCCAGGGGTACTCACGTTGTGATGTATTATCGTAACAATAGCAAAACGTGAGTAGCCTTTAAATACATTTCCCTTAAAATGTGTTACTTGTATGAACAGACGAAAACAGCTACATGGTCATTATGTGATTCTGTTTTTCCTGGAATCCTGACTGTGTTTAATAAAACATGTACTACGTTGTGAGCTTTGAGCATTGTTGTTTAATACATTTCTTTTTTTAAGTTAACCCTTTGGACAATGTGATAAAAGCTTTTAAGTTTTGATGTCCTTGGTTAGCGTCTCAGGATACAGGGTCTTAGGATTACAGCTCTTGCATAACGCAGATTGTGCTTTTTGTGTGGAAGTGTGATATAACAGTTCACTCACTCGGCACTCAATCCAAGGGTGGAGGGTTCTAAATCCAGTCCGTCTTGACATTTAAAGGGATCATTTAACAATGCTAAATCTGAGATACACTGCCCTATGTGTTATCAGTGTCTGTGATATGGTGTAATATTGAAGCCCTAAAAAAATTGCGCTTCAAAATGATCAAGAAGTGCCTCAAAAAAGTAAAAATCTTTGAGTGACCGGTTTTACCATACTCGTTTCCCCCAATAGACTGTAGTGTTATGAAAACCGTCAGGCGAACGGTTTTCAAAATTTGTAATTCCAATCATAAATATCTTGATAATCAGACAGGCGATCGGCTTGTAAAAGTCATGGGGTTCCTGACTAACCTAAAGGTTTATAATTATCATTGCATCATGAGCTAAATCCAGAATTTTGTTTTAGAATCTGAGACAAAGTTACCGGATCCCTTTAAGTAGCTTAGGGTAATAAAGTTGCAAGAAAAGATGCATCCGGAAAGCAAAATGCATTATTGTTGAAAAGCATGATTTCATCACACAGAGGTAAACCCACATCATTAAGATGTGGGGCTGGTATAAACACAAAAAAGAAGTTCTAATGATCAAATATCACCGACTATTAGTATTATTCCTTTTGTGTTCCGGAGGCGCCTTTTCATGACACTACATTTCTCTAAGGAGCCTACCGGTATTCCACATTTGCCACTCTCCACCCAGGTGTAAATGGGTACCTGGCAATTGCAGGGGTAATAATAATTGCAGGGCTTCCAGGAAGAACATCATTGATTGTGTTGAGGTTTTCCTGGGTAAACAATTTTTGTATTATGTTATATTAAAACATTAGAGAAGTCCAAGGTAGTTTTGGTATGATATTGGTATTCTTTACTGATATTGCATTAGTCTCGGTACAGGTGTCTATTCCAATGCTCAGTACCTTAGCTTGAATTAGACCAAAACACTTAAGGAAAGTAATAATTTTGTTTAGAATAAATTGTGTCTAATTTGTATTATTTTTGTATTTCATGTGACAGCCAATGACTACCTATATATCTTTAATAGACTTGGCCCATGTTGTGACTATTACATGTATATCATCTGCTCACTGCCAAAAAATGTGTTCATCTTATGAAATAGGATTGACGCTCTTCTGTAGATAAAGGAGGGGGGGGGGGGAATGAGGGGTAAAAGGGAATGAGGGTTAAAAGGGAATGATGGGGAACAATTAAACTGAATATTGAAGAAATTTAGATCATAGATTCTAAAGAGAGAAGAAATATATAAAAGATTTCCTTTTGGTTGTGTTTTGATATTGCATGAAAAAGGCAGTACATGTACCATACCTTTCTTGCTTCAATGAAATACCTGCATAGATAATTAGATATACTCTCATGATCTAATTTTCTAATACCATCTTACGTAAGCTGATGAATGGTGATCAAATATTATTTGAGTTTTTACTGTCAATGCGGTGGACTGTTTATCAAGTTTCTCTGATATCCGCTTAATAACGCACCTCATTATTCTCCTCCTCTATTCCCCTCCCCTTATCCCATCATTGTTGCTGGTTATAATAAAATGTAATAATGAGTTGTATTATTTAGCACCAACCTTTCCGATACTTGCATAACGCAAACAGCAAAATAGAGGCACCAACTCACACAAACTCAGAAAACGATACACTATACTTCTGAAGATAAAAGCTTTTTTCCTCTTTTTTTTAGAACTGAAATTATAATAGAAGTGGTTGAATTGTCCGTAAATCTTCTGATATCTTCAAGTATCACCTTCTAAAAGCATGTTTAAAGGTTTCAGACTTTCAAGCAAAAGCATCGTTTTGGAGAGAAATTGACCTCAAATAGTATTACTTTACACCCTTTAAATCATGAGGAACTAGGGCAATGTCTAAAAAAAGGAATTGATTTCCTATATTATTGTAACATCACTTTATACCCTATTATGATATGGGTGAAATTCAACCCACTTCTTACGATCAGATTTTGTATGTTGCTCTAGTTATCAAGGTCTGACAATCTATAATATTTCCAGGTGTTGCACATGTTTATAGATTACCTTGGCTCAGGTTTGAAATTTCAGCTTGTAAGAGCATAAGCTTTCAAATAATCTTCAAAAAGAGAAGAAACTAAAAAGCTAAGTTTCAGGTATCTAAAAATGAGGTCAACTGCATTACTGATTTTTCTCCTCCTTATTTCATGATCAAAATATTGTCCATCCATTAAAACTAGTTTTATAAAATAGGATGAATACAAAAAACTCATGCTCTTAATTTCATTCATGCAAAAGAAATAGTATGGGACCTGTAACGAACCCTCGGCCGGCCGGGGAACACCATTTCTACGATGAGGCCTGGAAATACCTATATTTTTCTGATTATCAGATTGTTGGCTTGCATTGTAGGTGTTCCATAGGGATACATCATAGGGCCTGTACAATTCTGTTATGCATGAAGGACACATAGTGTGTGAATTGTAGATATCCTTGTATTTAAACAAAATACACTAAGGATGTATGGACAATGTTTTGAACATTTTTATTTTCCATAATAAACCATTTCTGCAGTGTAATGAGTAAACACAGAACAGTACCACTGGACATTCATAATTCAAAAATATTATTTCTCATTAATCTGTGCCAGGGTACTTGACCAATTTAAATGAGTATCCAAATATGTTTTTTATGATTTGGCCCTATTCAATGGGCATATGCTAGGTGACAATAAGATTTAAAACTGTACATGGTTTGAAAACGGCAAGTACTCTCTTATTCCAAGGAATGGAAATCCTTCTAGAGAATCACTTTCTTAGGACTTGATTCCACTCTAAATTATACTGACAACCACTTTAATTAAGTGGTTGAATTACTCTTTTGAGAGCAAATTCTAATATTGTGAGAGTGGATTTCCACTCCAAATTAAGTGATCCATAATATCACTCCCTCAAGAGTGGATTTCCACTCCAATGCATTTAGAGTGTAGTTTGATTTTTAATCATCATCTGAAAACATGTAATGAAAATGTTAAAGAGAGAGTGCATATATGGGAAATGAAACTTATAATGAGGAGAATCAATTTGATGAAGAAGAGCCAAACAGACAAGGAAAGAAGAATGAAGAAAGGATTAAAAGAAGATAAGATCACCAAGACTGAGAAGAAAGAAATAGAAGGTTTATGGTCTCTGATTAGCGAGGACTTTGTAAAGAGGGGACAGGATTGATTTCATTTAATGAAAAGAGAATGGACGATTTCATGATGAACTCTGATGGAAGAAGCTAAGGCAAAGCTGATTTGTTTCAGCTGCATTATATGCCCTAATTACAGCAAATATGAATTTCCTTGTATATTGAGTATTGGTAATGAAAAAGCACTTTTCAAATTTACAAGATAAATCATCTTCATTAATGTCATCATTAGAGTCTTTGGATTTGTTTTTGTCTCTGGTATAATGGTATACTAATTTCATTGCTTGATACCATCATTATACTAACATGCATGCACGGTATACTGATAAATCCCATTTGTGTTTGGTTGTTTGTGTGTATTTGTTTCACGTACAAATGCTGTTTTTGTTTATTGTTGTTCTACTTGTAACCTTTGTAGATTAGATGCGATTTCTTGTGTTGGAGCTAGAAAGTCTTTCTTTTTGTGTTTTACACAGAGTCAACACCCTTCTGGCTCCAAACAGACAATTTATACAGTAATATTTATATAGATCTATGAGAATATGTTTTGTGCACCACCTTTGAATGCAGTATAGTGTATATATTTGGATTTGTATCAAATGCATTAATTTTGACTGTTGTTTAGAATATTTGTATATGCTTCAGCCACAATTTTATAATGATATATGTACATGTATGTACCTCCATACGAAGACGGTTAATATATAATGCCTGATATGTCACAAGGTTTGTATATATATCCTTAGCTTTATGCACATGTAGTATTAATTCAACATTGTTTTTCACTTTTCCAAGAAGCATTGAGATGAAATGTCTATTCTGATGTTTTTATGTGAAAAGGATTAACCCCTACGGATATGTGTATGACATACATGTAGGCTTGGATGGTTTGGAGGAGAAATTATCTTTCACGCGAATGAGCTGATGCTGTTGAATATTACATTACTCTCTTGAGGGCATGCCACTATAAAACCAATAATTGGGCGGAGATGTTGTGATCAGTGAGAGAATAGAATAGAATAGAATAGAATAGAATAGAATAGAATAGAATAGAATAGAATAGAATAGAATAGAATAGAATAGAATAGAATAGAATAGAATAGAATAGAATAGAATAGAATAGAATAGAATAGAATAGAATAGAATAGAATAGAATAGAATAGAATAGAATAGAATAGAATTGTCATCAATATAATAGTAATCTTGGTGGGGGTGATATGTCTGTCTAGGGGTATCCCCACTTGCATAACAATGCAGAATAGCCTGCTCTTTTGTTGTGCGGAATCTGCGGATATGATTAGCTTGTGACATTAGTTGAAGTGCACATGGGGTTATTATTATCATCATCATCATTAAGTATTTGACGTCACCCGTGTCTGGGTGGCGAAAAGCATTGTGAATCACTGTACCCTTGGGTCTCTCGATCCTCCCGGTATAACCGATTGGGGTGCATGTGCAGGTGAACCACTACACCAAAGTTTTCCCCTTCTCTTGAGCGAATAGTGCAGTTGGTTCTTACTGTGCGAAGGTGCTGACTCACCTGTATAATGTAGTTGTGGAGGCTCTTCACTCTTTAAGAGAGGTTCTACATGTAGGTATGGTCCTTGCTTGGGTGTTAACATCCCTTGACAAGACATTGTTATCCCTCTTTACCCAGGTGTACAAAAATGGTTACCTGGCAATGCTGGGGTAGTGAGAATTGTAGGTCCCTTTTGGGAATGGCATATGAATAGACCAGTTCACGGTAAGCACATGTTCCAAATGACCCTGAATTTCCACAGAACTTCAAAACATGACGAGGTCCCACTTTGTGCATTTTGAAATAATCACTGGATCATTGGAGGTGCTACATTTATATAATAGCCTTTGTTTCCCCTCTTTGATGTAGTGGTTAAGTCTCCAAACCTTGAATCGCAAGTTTGAATCCC